CTGATAGGAAATCTTTAAAAGCTTTATATTCTGGGCTGATTAGGTCAGTATTGGATTATGGGTGTGTAGTATATAATTCTGCTGCCAGAACAAGTTGGTTAGTATCCAATATCAGGCGCTAAGACTTTGCTCAGGTGCATTCAAAACAACATCTGCAGCAGCTGTGCAGGTAGAAATGGGGGAAATGCCATTACAAATAAGAAGAGAGCAACTGACATTGAATTACTGGGCAGGTTTACAAGGACATGGTCAGGATCATCCAACAAAAACTGTTTTCTAACCGTGCTGAGTAAAAGAGAAAACGCAATTGAAGAGCTTTGGGTGGACAGTGGGACAGAAAGCAGCTGAACTTAATCTGGACAAGATCAACATGTCAAACAGCACCGTTGCCTACAATACCACCATGGATGCTCCCTGATGCAGGTGCAGATTTCACATTGTTAAACAAAAAGAACAAGGAGAGGGGGTTTCTCTTAAATTCACATACGGCGCAGGAATATATTAATCAGCATTATAGTCAAAATCTACACAGATGCATCAAAGAATACAGCCAACCAACGCGGGATAGCCTTTATAGTTCCTGAATTTAATATCAAGGTGGGGAAAAGAATCAGTGACGATTTATCAGTGTACACAGGAGAAATGGTTTCAGTATTGTTAGCAGTCCAGTGGACTGAAGAAACAAAACCACTAAGTTCTGAGATATGTTCAGACTCGAGCTCATCACCGGCCAGTCTGCAGACTGTCACTCAGACTGCAGACTGACATTCTGATAGAGATCCAGCAAACATGTTCAGACTTGTTATGATGGAGCTTATGGTCACATTCTTATGGGTACCAGCGCATCATGGAGCAAAAGTCGCAACGAGGAGACCGATGGTAGATATTAGTGTTAGTAGGACGGAGGTCAAGAGTAGAATACGATACAAAATGAAGGAAAGGTGGTGAAAGCAATGGGAGGAGGAGAGGAAAGGGCGATGGTTTTATAAAATCCAAAGGAAGGTGGAGTACAGGCCGAAACAGGAGAGAGGAGACGATTATACCTCGACTGAGATTCAGACACACTCCTGCTAACTTCTAACTCCGTTAAATGTAATGAATTCTGTTTTCATGGATGCCTGGATGCTAAACGTAATTGTTACACCTGGTAAAGCAGCAACGCTGATCGTTTTATTAAAGATGAAAGAATTTAGGCAGTTATTAACTCTCAGTGACGCTGCAGTGTTCGTTTGACTTTGGGACCTGAACGATCTGACGGACAAACACCAAACCAGTTCCACATCACTGAAGT